ATTTCAATTTTCACTATATTTTATTAGTAAATTTAGTTCCTGAGTTATTACTTTTGATTGTTACTGTATATAATAGAATTATAATTAAAAAATAATATCATAATTAGTACAACTTAATTATAATTCTCTAATTGACTATCATAATTAATCATAATTAAATTATAATTCTCTGATTAAATATTATATATTACAATTAATTAAGATATTATCTTTAATTATAATAAATATAAAACTTTAAGTTTTTTGCTAATTATAATATATTTTTATTATATATAAAGTATTTAATTTTATCAATATAAATTTTTTAAAAATAATTAAAATTTTTAGTTTAATATATATTTTTTCAAATTTTAGAAATTTTAGAATTTTTATTAATAATTTATAAATAATACTAATTAATTTTTACTAATTATTAATTAATAAAAATTAATTAACTTATATAAATTACTAATAAAAATTTTAAAAAATTTGAAAAATATATATTAACTAAAAAATTTTTTATTAATTAAATTAGTAAAAAAATTCAAGTATTATATTTTTATAATATATTTTTATTTTATATTAAAATTTTATAAAAAATAAATATTATTTAAATAATATATATTTTTTATTAATTATAATTAGTAAAAAATATATATATATTTCTTATATATATAGAAGTTTTTAATTTTACAAATAAATTTTTTTATTTTTAACTCAAAAAATAGTTAAAATTCTTTAGTTTAATATATATTTTTTCAGAATTTTCAGACTTTTATTAGAAACTTATTCATATTATATTTAAAGATAATTAATTTTTATTAATTAAAAATTAATTGTTTTTATATATAATATAAACAAGTTTGTGGTAATATATATTAAACTAGAGAAATTTAGCTAAAAATAAAAAACATTTTTTAGTAAAATTAAAAACTTTTATATATAAAGAAAAACATATATATATTTTACTAATTATAATTAGTAATAAATTCAGATATTACAATTATCAAATTTAATGTATGATTTTTTCTGAAAGTACTATTCTAATTGCAAAGTCATTTCAAAATTTTTTTCTAATTAATTTCTTTTTAATTAGAAAAAATTTTTGTAATGACTTTGCAATTAGAACAACTCTTCCAGAAAAAATCTAAAAAATATATATTAGGTTATAAACTTTATTATAAAAATAAAAAATTATTTCTTAATGAAACTTTAAACTAATATAAAGGGGAATTTCAATTTTACTATGATTTTATTAATAAAATTGATCTCTGATTCCATAATTTTGTTAGTTATTATAATTGAAATTAGTTTTTTTATATTTTATAAGCTAAAATATTTTAATAATCTAAAAATATATATAATCAATTTTTTCCAAGTATAACATTAATAAAAATAATAATAAAATTTATATTTAACAAGTATCTGTATTGAAAATTCGAAACATAGAATAACTCTTATAATTTAGAATCAAAAGATGATTATTTTATAATAAAATAAAATTTAAAATTTATTGTTTTATAATATTTTTTAGATTTTTTCTAAGAGTTGTTCGACATATCAAGTTCATCGACCAACACTCAATCACTGTTAGAAGAGATTTCGAATAATTCGTATCTTGCTGAAGTTCGAAAGATCATAATTAGAGATACAGACATTTCCACAGCAACCTCACGGCAATAACGTCACAATTTACGTACATATATAGAGCCATATAATGCCGTATGACGTGAAAATCAAAATAATATTTTATTTCTGTCATTGATGTTTGAAAATTTATAACAACGCACAATTCTTGAGTTTTTGCCATCTACAAGAGCAATCGGGTCGTTATGTTATAGACATTATATGTCAAACGTCATACATCACGTTACTTACGCCACGTCAATATGACTCCGAGAGTAGTACGTCTTCTATGTCCTAGGTAGTGACTACCCTGAGAAATGTTTGCGTCACTGATAATAATATCGCCAACCCTCCCTAAATGCATCCCCTTGGGACCACAAACCAATTGATAAAATGTGCATTTAAGAGGGAGATACATTTTATAAAAATCGGGATAGAACTAGCATGTAATTTAGTGTTTGCATTATGAGGGTATATTTAGGGAGGTCTGATTGTTATTTGGCTTACGAACACGGAATCAATGTTGGGAGGAACTGTAAAAATCGTTTTCAGATTTTATAAATTTTCCGCAATTTGTAAGAACAAATAAAATTTAGTTGGAAAATTTCTAGTAAAAGCGGTGTGGTGATTGCCTGATTTATATTCGTCATGCTAATGTAAAAAATTTCATTTATTCGAGTGCTGCAAAAAGTTTGATGCATGTATCGATTTACTTTTCACGTAACGACAAACTAGACAATTGTATTATATTGTAGGTAACAAGGTATTTTTAGCAAGATACATGTATAGTCCAAATATTTTGTGAGGAATATGAAACCATTTTCTGAATATTTTATTCTTTAAGCCTCAAGGTAATATTATCTTGCTTAGAAAGATTTTTGTAGATGAGTAAAATATAAAATAGACCTATTATTTTATTTGATCAAAACTAAACTGGATTTTTTTATCGAAGCTAGCCAATTTTAAACCAAATTTTTCGTAGCAATAATATGTTCTTGTTGAAAAATGATAGGTTTGAAAGCTTCCAAGAAATTTTACAATTGAATTGGTTAGCGTCAGTTGGTTAAACTAAATCAGGTAAAAACTTGCCAAAAGCTTTTACTAAACTTAACAATGCTAAATTAAAGTTTCGGATTTGAAAAATGTTACGGATTTAATTTTGGCTTTTTTCAGTTTGCATGTGGCTGTGTTATTAACGACATCATTATTGCGCTAACGAGAATTTGTAAAACTCATGTAAAAATATAAACTATGAAAGAACTAACACGCTTTAATTCGGTCTTTATGCACGTACAGTACATCGGTAGCAATAACAATAAAAGTTAATATACAAATGTTTTTGTTTTTCACAGCATCAATATTGATAAACAGAATTTTCTTTCTCATGAGAATTCTTTGGTGCAGGAATCTTAATACATGTATAATATAACGAATGGCGATAGCGTTAGTAAATTTTGTATTTCAAAATTTCCATTTGGAAAGAATACACAACTTTGGTTAGATCGTTCATCAACTCCACTTCACTAATCGGAGAGTAAAATTACCAAACTTTAGCTATGTTTTACTCAAAATATGCATCAGCGTTCGCGTGCGTTTGCGACGACACCCGTTTTGTTTTATTATAAAATTAATATGGAGATAAAAGGGAGAATACATGTACCGTAATTAAATAATTGAAAAAGGTACTATTTTTTTATTCATTATGGATTCACATGTACATGTATGTGATGTATTACATGTGCATAATTGTTGGCATTATCCTTATATCTAAAAGTTTCAAACATTAATCGATAAATGTGTTGTTCAAATTCTTAGTTTATATTGAAAAATGAAATAGATTTAAAAATAACAAAAAGAAAAATTTTCCTAAAGGAGATGTAATAATAAAGTATGAAATAGATCATACAATATACTCCCAACGTATAATTCTAAAAAGATTTGTGTGATCAAAGAATTCTAAGAAAAAGAGGGATTATACAAGTCGTTTTTATTGAGATTTAATTTTAATATAAATATCAAGAATATATAGGAAAAATGAAGAAATTGAATTGGTTGATAAAATTTAAAAAATTAATTATATATAAATATAATTGATTCAATAATTACATGTATATAAATAGTAATAAGTTTTCAAATTAAATTTATTAGTTTCAAAAAAGTAATACGTGTACATGTATTTAAAAAAGTGATCTTAATATATTAATATTTTTAAATGATATCTCAAGCTTTCAAATATGTCTATAAATTTTATATTTTATAATAGTTAATACGTCGTCGGGACAACAGACAAAATCAGATACAATGTGCATTTGGGGGAGTAGTATTTACGGAAGGTAAGTACTTAAATGCTTGAGACTAAATCGGAACGTGCATTTATGGAGGGTAAACTTTAGTGCGTGCATTTAGGAAAGTTGCATTTAGAAAGGTCATAAATATTATGTTATAAATTATATATAATATTCCTGAATAAAAAATCTATTAAATTTAGCAATATTTAAAGTAGACCATTATTATATAATAATATCAATTATAATTTATATATGTATTATTAAATTATAAATTCAATAAGCAAATGCTTAATTTAATAACAATTAAAATAGAATACTTTTATTAATTTAAATAATCAATTCTTAATTAAATTGTTATTTAATATTCTGTAATGGATGGTATTATATATTCATTACAATTATCATTATATAATAAATTCAAAAGATAACAACTCTAGTATTAATGCAAAATTTACAAATTATTTCAAATGATTTCTTAGTTGTATACTTCAATAATTTAATCTTATAATTATTGCTTTTCAATCGTCAAATAGAAAACTTTTCTTATAGTTGCAGATTTGATTTCAGTAGATACTTTCAATGGGAATATATTTCTTTTTTCTTTTAAGTATAATGGTTTAATATAATGTTGAGATATAAGATATAAATATTAAAATTTTTGTATTAGCGTGATATTTTTTTTAGTATCATTATTAATATTAAGTACATAGATATGGTACTCTGTTATTGTATTTGTTAAACTTGTCTATATAGATATCTTTATTTACGTAAATAATAATAAACAATGTAAGATCATTGACTTTTCTTATAGAATGTACATGTAATTTTTATGCGTTGATTACGTACTGCCCGATAAAATGGAATCATGTGTTTGAAGATAGAATAACGTAGTATAAATTTCGGAAATTTTGGAGGTTTTGTTGTAACAATAAAAATGCCCATATCTCGAGCGTGCATCGCACTTTTTTCAACACCTCAAAAAAAACACGGCTTTTCGTTGTTTTATCTCAAAAAAAAAAATCTCACACGATTAAAAAATTCAAAGCGAAAGCAATTTTTGTATTTACTCATTAATGATTAGTAAAAACTCAAAGTCATAACGAAAAAATGGCGATAAATATCTCACAGCAACATTTTCTCAACTATAGTGGATTCGCGTACGGCGACGAAACATACTATAATGAAAATTATTTACCATTTGTAGAATTTCAAATGACAAACCAGCAAAAAGTTTGCTCGTTATTAACAACGACAAAAGAACGTTTTTCTAGTGCTTCTCCTAACATAGACACGAAAATAACAGTAGCAAAAAATGATAACCACATGACAAACGACAAAGAAGCACCTTCACAAATAATATCCTCGTTACTTAATTACATCGCAAATGAATTTGACCAAGATTTAGACCGTGGATCTTGTGAATCACCTGGACTCTCCTCCTCTTCTTCAAATTCAGGCCCTCAGACCCCAGTGAATCAAACTATTACAGAACGAAGAAACAGACTTTTTAAAGATGGCGGACTTTTTGTCCCGTTTTCTTCTACGCCCGCAATGACATCAACCACGACCGATATCGAAAAAACAGAGCTGATACTAAAAACGGTAATAAGAGAAAGAACGGGATATTTTGATGGATGGGACGGTGAAATTATTGAAGAACCACCATCATCAATATTTGGTGATGACTCGGTAATTTTTTATTCGTTTCATACTAAATTGTGTTTGTTCACATGCTTTCTTTTCCAAATGTCTAACTCACCATTTACTTAATTAGGATACGGCAAATACCGACACCGTTTCATTACCACTTCTTGGCTCGGATAATCACAAAGGAGCATTGCTAAATGATGATATTGGATTATTCGAGGATAGCAATTCATCCAATAACATAAATAACAGAATAACAAGTACAGCAACAAATTTATCTGTGCTTAATGCTGATTTTGAAAAAGGATTCTTCAAAACGATATTTCGTAGCGGTAAATTAATATCACAAAACACTTACGAGAATAAAAATGGTCAACGAAATTTTAATAATACGACAGAATTAACACCGCAACAGCAATATCAGCTCAATATGCGACGTCATTTAGAGCAGGCACTGCATGTGGCTCGAAAGAAGTCAGTTTCGGCTACTTTTCGACGTGAAGTTTGTCGTGTTATCGAAAAATGAAAAGTTGAATGATGGTTTTGACACAGCGTATATTCCTATTGTATATTATTTTTAAAAACCAAGCGAATATATTTGCTACGTCTCGTTCAAATGAAATTAGAGAGTTTAACAAGAAACAATTACATGGTCTCCAACATCAATTTACATGTACTATTAAACAAGAACAATCTAATTCTCAATAGTGTTGTTTTTCATAATAATATTAGCATTTACCAATACGATACTGAAAGAAATTTGTTGTATGAAATTGATTCGTCAGTACTCCGTAAACAAGTGTGAAAAAACAAACAAAAATTTTGTTTATGTATTCATTGTGCCAAAAAGAATAACGATTGTTATCCTTTTTTTTCATTATTCGGATAATTAAAACTCTTGATGGACCGAGTCACCCACTGTGTTATACAGATCTGTATGTGATACATGTACATGTTAGTATAGTTGATAGAATTACAACAATTACGGTATAGAATAACGATAAGAGCTACATGCACCTAATTCGGATATTTCATTGATATAGATGTACGCATACGGTCCATTTGTATGCAATATATTTGTAGAAAGCATGTCGTGAGAATACATGTATGCTATTTTGATGTAAAACAAAGTAACAACAATAAAAACAAAACCTTAAACGAAAAATATTTTTCTTCATTTATTTGGCTGAAAAAAGCTACATGTACATGTACTTGGCAAAAGAAGAACTCTATAGAATGAATGGACGCATTTATTTGTGTTGGGGTCATCAGGTAACCTTACCGATTTGAGTTCATTCAATAGAGCAAAAAGATCACATGAGCTTGTTAACCGAGTTCCATTATATTTTTCTTTACGAGCCATAATGGGACAAAATGTAATATCAAAGTCGTGTGCATTTTGCTTGGCATATTTTTATCATACGAAAATTTGGACTATAAGCGACGACGAACTTGCAGCACAAACATGTAATTTGGTGGCAAATTGGTAGAATCAAGAAACGTCAGAATTCGATATGTTTATGATGCTTTACACAATGCATGTGTAGTATGTTGACTCAGTGAGATACTGTACACTGCAATTGTTATTGTTTATAAATAAATTTCATATGCTGAGAAAAATAAAGCTGTTGGTTAGTATTGTGAATTTTATCGTTATGCATAAAGGGCGTTTTTACTTTGGTAAAAAAAAAAAAAATAAATTAACGGAGGAGGTTGCTGTTGCTGGTAGTGAAGTTACATGTATTATTTGATAAAGAGCTGCCGTTTGATTGATTCTTTACACTAACGCGAGATAGCCAAGAACCCAAAATTGTCCATTCTCATAGCAAGGTAAGAATGTGCGTAATTCATTGTAAAGAAAGAGTCAACACTATACTTCATAAAATTTTTCGTGATTGTGTGCCGAAGTAGTTCATTAGAGAAAATAAAATGTACAAACTAATCGCCATGTATTCGCAAATTCAAAACGATAGGTGTTAATCTTTCTTTTACGATCTATGTGTGCTGGCTCTGGTCGTATAACAACGACAAAATATGGGCAATATGATTTGCGTAATAATACCAATTTATGAGTGTCAGCAGATCGAAAAAGTAGAAATACTTCTAAAGAATATATCTTCAATAGGTTTGCATCTATTCACGGTATGGAATAACCGAATCATTCATGTATACGAAAATTGATTTAGAATTAAATCTGTTAAAATATTTTCTTAACATCTAGAGCACAAGGATGAGGTCCTCACTGGAAGAATGTTTTATTATTAACAAACAGATCGCTAGCACAAGCTTCTTTATGATATTACAGGTGACTCAAGAGCATGGGATATGTGAATAAAAAAACTTTTGATTTTAATAAAATCAAACCAAATTTATCTTATAATAATATGGATTTGGATTTCATACATAGTTTTTGACAACTTCGAAAAGCGGGACTTAAAACTAAACCGATGAAGCGATTTCCTAACCTGATTTATTGGGGGAATGTAATGAACGCGGTATTTCTCCAGACGAGCAAAAATTAGGAATTTTTGAAGCTTTAGTCAGTGGCGCGTTTTGCAAAGTTATTAACCGTTAACTTCAATTCGGTACATTTGCGTGTTTCGTCATGACCATTTAGTCATGTTTTCTGATATCATAAACAAAATGAATAAACATAATTTCAAACTCCATTATTTGATAACTCGTAAGAGATCAATAAATATCAAAAAAAATTTCCTCTCCTACAGCTGGTCTGTTTGAAACTGTTTTTAATTTAAATTGAGTTCTGCAAAATATTGAAATCGAAATAACAATAAAAAAATTCCCATTAAAAGAGACATTTTCTTGGTGATAGACAGGTCTCAGACTCCATGTAAACGGTAACAATTTTTAATCTGAAAATTTTTTCTCTATATCGATACAACCTATTTTGGTGAGTTCAAAATGGCGAGGTTTCTAATTTTCGAGACTTATAAATCGGAATGATAATCATGCGGGGAGTTCTTATCGTTATTGTTGAGCCTTATAGGCAATTTGACCAAACGTATAAAATGAGAAATCTAGTGATCTAGGCAACATTCGATTGAGCATAGTTAGATCGCACCAACTTGACCATTAAATTGCAAAGATTTTGCGTCCCGAAGTTAATAGAATAGAAATACGCAAATTTTTGATTAGCCCGGCAAAAAATAAATCTAGCACTAATAAAACTATATTTTCAAAAATAAAGGTTTCTCTTTTTTTTAAGATTTCTTATTTTCGATATAAAAAAACAATGACGATCCTCGAATTTTAAGCTTTAAAGTTTCATTGTCCTGTACTTGTAATAAGTTAGTATTAAAGTTTCATTGTCTTGTAATGTGTTACCGTTACAGTAAAATGATTTATTGTACATGTATTATTAAAAATAGAAAAGATGACGATAACCTCAGAACTATTTATAATTGTTATACATGTATTTGTACATTAAGTGCGCTTTAAAAAATGTCACATGTATTTTTGATAAAAGCTACTTTCAAATATTTGTCTCTAAATTTGTTTAATAATTACAATAACACCTCTCTATAAGAACACTATATAAGGACAAATTACTCATGTATGAAACCAAAAGGAAAGGTAACAACTATGTAATCAACCGAATCACACAATATTGGTATGCTATCGGATTTTACTTATTTAGTTTTATTTAAATAGTTATTGTGATAACACCATCAGAATATGGCTTCACCTTCATTATGCGCAACTCACCTTTGCTAAAACAACTTCTTAAAAACTAGGTTTGATATATAATTTTCAGTTGCAAATTGGCAATTTATATTGATAAAATGATAGCGCAAATGTCGCCTTTGAAGGTTACTTTTATGAATTAATGCTTATTCAACTAATTGACTGTGATAGCGAAATTTATCAAAATTCTCTTTCTTGGAATATGGAGCTCATCTTGTTCACTTTTAATTTGGTTGTTATATACATGTACTATTAATTTCTTGAATTCTTGTGGTAAAACTGACTGAGCATTGATGCTAGGACCAGATTTAACTTTTTCTTCTTTCATACATACGGAACCACGCAAATAATGTCTGCTATCTGGTAGGTAATGTAATCATGAAATGTTAATATTATAACCTTGATAATATTACAAGTTTGACGAATATTATCAATGTTACCATTTTACTGATATTACCATAAGAATGGTTGCAACATTTTCATAATCAAATTTGAAGAGTGAGATTGATAAATTTGTAATTGCAGATGCTGTGGTCGAAAAGCTGTCACTCGAAGAAAATCGCGTTTATTAATTAAAATCGTTTTTTTTGCTCGTTCTCACGATTAACGTTAATTAAACATTGTGATAATTTAATACATAGCGATAACGATAATGATAGTTATGTCTATTAACTAGACTTTTCAAAATGACGGCGATCATTATTCATCCCATGGAGATTGATGTTAAAAAAACTATTATATGTACAGTCAGACCTCCCTAAATGCAACTTACTCGGACCAACCTTTTGACATCGTGCATTTAGAGAACAATAAGGATATTGCATTTATGGAGGTTAAGTATATATTTGGGTCAGAGTTTGAGCTTGCATATAGAGAGGTGTTACGTTTAGGGAAGTTGCATTTAGGGAGGTTTGACTGTACTTAACCTCCATAAATGCAAAAAACACCACGTCCACAAAACAGTTTTATTTTATTTGAAAAGACTATAAAACTAATACAGCCTGGTGTCAAGCAAGAAGTAAAAAATACAGCAAAGGAATGCAGCTTAAAGTGGAAAAAGCAATCAAGTGAAGTCAAATATATTTTAAAATATTGCAGAAAATAGTTTATGAAGAACATAAGTGAGTTATAAATACATGTGTAAAAAAAGTCAAGTTGCAAAGAATTTATTTTTCGAGAACAACATATTTACTTCGTTCGATAGGGCCAATATAGAAAATCTTGATTCACCCAAGTAGTACAAATTGACGAATTATCATCCTTAACTTTTAATTCATATTAAAAAAAAATACAAACTGATGAATCACCATTGTTAACTTATAGCTCACCTCAAGAAGCGACACAAATTCGTGAATCGTCATCTTTAATGCCTAGTTCACCTCAAGAAACACAAAGCGACGAATCGTTATGTTTGGCTTTCAGTTTACCTCAAGAAACGATGCAAATCGGCAGGTCATCATCTTTAATATCAACAACTTCTACAGCCATTTATAATTATGCTATAAACAATTTTACAATGATCCTTTATAATCATTCAGTAATGCTCAAATTCGTATGATGACACATTTAATGAATTGGCATTAATTTCGTTTGAATTTAAAGAATTTAACCCGCTCAAAGTAGTTTCGTACATATTTGTATTATAGTTATTGTTATTTTTTTCTGAGAAAAAAATAGAGTAGAAAATTAATTATGATCAAATTGATGCGCCATTAATATCATTTATATCTTTATTCTTGTCTCAATCACAATTACCCACACAATTATTTATGTCAAAATATAATTCATGCCATTTATGATAATTTCTGGGCACACTTAATT